TATTTGCATTTGATGCAACTTGGACATTGATACAATCATTACAACAACTTTGTTCAACATATATAAATAGTTCTTTTCCATGTTTATCAATTGTTAACAATTCATTCTGTTTCGATCGTCATCTTCTTAATGCCACTTCATTTCTCAATACGATTAGTACTACAGAATTTCTTGGCGTATCTGGTCCAGTAAAATTTAGTGCCAATGTGACAGATAGAATAGATGGAATTTATTATATTGTACGAAATATTCAGCCTTCTACAAATAATTTAGAATTGGTGCCAGTATTGCAATGGTCTCATACTAATGATTGGAAAACATATACACAAGCTGATGTCATCATATGGCCTGGTAATACATTAGCACCTCCTACTGGATTAGCTGGTCTTGAAGGAATAAACTTACGAATTTGTATTATTGAATCAATGCCATTCACAATACGAACAAATATCATTGAACAAAATCAAACGAAGTTAACTGGTTATGTACCCGATCTTATTGATCTTTTACAAACTAGAATGGGATTTATTCCTTATTTTATATATCCACCAGCAAATCAGACTTATAATGGATTAATTAAATCAGTGGCGACAAGTATTTGTGATGTAGCAATTGGTGATATTACTGTTACTGCTAAGCGAAGAGAAATAGTTGATTTTTCAGCTCCAATATTTGACAATTCTCTGCGAATTATTGTTCGACAAACAAAAACTGTTCCTATTGATCTTCTTTCCTATTTAAGACCATTCTCACTTAATCTATGGTCGATATTCTTCATTTGCATCGTTTATGCTACTGTTTTACTTTGTGTATTAGAACGACAGAATAATGAAGCGTTGCAAAATAGATCAATAATATCATCCGGTGCAATGAGTATGTGGTATTCTATTGGTACTATTATGGGATATGGTGCAGATTTTCATGTTCAAACAGCTCCAGGACGATTATTAACTATAGGTTTATATCTCTTAAGTCTGATATTAGTGGCAACATATACTGCAAATTTAGCATCTGATTTAACAATATCAAAATCAAAAGATACTATTTCTGGTATTGATGATATCAAAAATGGAAAGATACCATTTAGTCGTGTTGGTATTCTTGTAGAATCATCACAGGAAGATTATTATTTACGTGAAATTTCTGGAGGTGTTCGTAATTATTATCCATTGAAAACACAAGATGAATTGTATAGCAGTTTATTAAATAATTTAATTGATGCATCGATTTTGGATATTAGTGCTCTAGAATATTATACTAATAATATATATTGTAATTTAACACTTGTCGGGAAAGATTTTGTCCCGAGTTCATATGGTATTGCTTATCCTAAACAATGGTTATATGGAAAAGATTTAGATGTCATTATATTATCATTTAGAGAATCAGGTGTTCTTGATGATTTAAAAAAGAAATGGTTTGAAAAAAGTGTTTGTCCAGATTCATCTTCATCTTATGTATCTACTAGTATCAACCTGGAACAAATGAGTGGTTTATTTGTTACTTTTAGTGTTATCAGTATTCTATCGTTAGTATTATTTATATTGAAAAAAAATAATTGTTATAAAAGATTGTCTAACAAGATCAGGACGTCGAAAGAATCTTTTAATCCAACAGCAAGTCTACGAAACAACAGATTCAATGAAAATTTTGTCTAAATGTACACAGAACTCTCAATTATCTTTGCTCTATACTACAAAACTATAACTGCAAAACTATCTTTATCAGAATTACTTGCAAATCATTTTTTCGCTTTTAGAATTCATTATATCAATCAATAAAAGATGAGAAAATTTTCTAAAAAATGTATTTTCATATAATTTGTATCGTTGATAACTAAAGATTAGAACCCTACTCGACGGTGGGTGTGGGTATGGGTGCAGTTCTCCTTTGCAAAAAAGCGACACGCATACACCCACCCCCTCTAAAAGATTTTTCCAGAAAGTGGATTAATCATCGAAAGGATACAAAAAAGGATAGTGACATATCAAGTTTTTTGTTTTGAGCAAAAAAGAAAGATACTGATTTCTTTATCCGTCTACATATTCATTGTAAAAATATATGAATTAAATGAAAGAATTAAAGGTTATATTCATTCAAATGATGAACAGTTTTCATGAACGAATTCTAAAAAAACAAAAAGATATTGAAAGAATATTATTAAATTTTTTTGATAAATAGATCATATCAATAAAAACAGAGCGAACAGAGAATTCAACTTGACGTAACAATATACTTTTCGACTGAGACCATGTTCTCCTAATCAGGTGACATCCCTAGCAGACAAGAATTCGAAAAAACGCGTGTACACACCGTAAAACTGACTTTTTCAAGCGTTTACACGCGTTAAAAAAAAGATGGCCGTGTAAACACTCAGAATTCTAAAATTCCACCGGTGAAAACGTACAGTTTTTTTCTATTGAATATTTGTAGACGTTTTAACACCTCGAAAGCCTGCTTTGTAATCGTGTAAACGGCCATTGGGTCCAAAAACCCATTTCACGCATCAAAAAGTTGAGATTTTTGAGCGTTTTTCCCAACACTTTTATCATTCGGATTTCTGCAATAATTACTGACGACATTCATCCTTCAAAGTTGAGAGTTCTAGACGTTATTTTCTCCATATATTTTTTAGATTAACTATTCAGAAAGTTCAAGCATTTAAACGATGGGTGCTTCAGTATTTCAACATAGTGCAGCATCAAATATTTCGGATACCTTTTTTATAGTAAATAGTAACCGTTTAGACGGCTAGTTTTATTGACTTCCAGGTGTTTCAAGATGTAAACTTTTTTGTATCCACATAGTTCTAAATTTTAAGCGTTTAAACGCCTGATATAATGCATTTATAGGAGTTTTCATACATGAATTTTTTTCATATCTGCATGCTTCGAAATTCTATACATTTAAACGAATGATATCATCAACTTTTAACAATTTTCATGTATGAAGTTTTTCGTATCTACATAGTTCAAAATTCTAAACGTTTCAACGGTTGTATAATGAATTTTCAAGTGTTTTCATACATGAATTTTCTCATATTTGTATGCTTCAAAATTCTTAACGTTTAAATGCCTGATGTCAATAAGTTTTAGGAGTTTCAATATAGAAATTTTTTCATATTTACATAGTTCAAAACTCTAAACGTTTAAATGGTTCATATAAAGGACTTCTAGGAGTTTGCATATATGAATATTTTCATAACTACATGCTTCAAAAATCCAGACGTTTAAACGCTTGATGTCAGTAATTTTTAGAACTGTCGATATCGAAATTTTTTTATATTTACATAGTTCAAAATTGTAAACGTTTAAACGGCAGACATAAAGAATTCCAAGGAGTTTTCACATATGAATTTTTTCATACCTCCATGCTTTAAAATTCTAAGCGTTTAAACGTCTGATGTCAACAATTTTTAGGAGTTTCGATATAGAAATTTTTGTGTATCTACATAGTTCAAGATTCTACATGTTTAAACGTTTGATATTATGAATTTTTAGGAGTTTTCACATATGAATTTTTTCATATATGCATGCTTCAAAATTCTAAGCATTTAAACATTTGATGTCAACAAATTTTAGGGGTTTCGGTACAAAAATTTCTTTATATCTACATAGTTCAAAATTGGTAACGTTTAAACGGTTGATATTAAGAATTTCTAGGAGTTTTCACATATGAATTATTTTCTATCTACTTGGTTGAAAATTCTAAACGTTTAAACGGCTGATATTATCAAGTTTTAGCAATTTCGATACAGAAGTTTTTGTATATCTACATAATTCCAAATTTTAAGCGTTTAAACGCATGATATTATCAATTTCTAGGAGTTTCTATTTAAAAATTTTATCAGCTGCACATAGTTCAGAATTCTAAACATTTAAAAGAGTGCCCCCATCAAGTTTTAGGAGTTTCGATATAGAATTTTTTTTTCATCTGCATAGTTCAAAATTTTAAACATTGAAACGACTGATATCATGGAATTCTAGAAGTTCTTATACATGAAGTTTTTCATACCTACATGCTTGCAAATTCTAGATTTTTAAATGATTGATTTCATCAGTTTCTAAGCATATTGGCATGGATGGCATTTTATTTGTAATTTTATGAAACTTTTGACTCTTCTAACCCCACGTTACAGCGAATGGTAGATGTTTTTTTAAATGAAGTTCTTTGAATTTTTTTTATTTGTCTTGTTGTAAGGAGGACATTCGTCCGTGTTGCAGACTTTGTAATCGGTATTTTATATCGTATTGAGCGTTTGCAGTATGTTGTAAGGTTTTTAGATTAAACAGTGTCTGGCTAACTATCAGAGTCTTTCATAGGGTTATACATTAGTTATGCGTTTGAGGTAAGGATTGTGCCAGAGAAAGTTCGTCAGTAGTGACTTACAGAAAAATTTCCTTTTGCCCACTTGAAAATCTTTGTCTGTGGTCTATCACTGTATTACAGTTAAAATTTGAGTTTCCATTTTTTAATAACAGCTGAAAGCGTTGCGTTTGTGACACAAAATGTTTTTACTATAACCATGTAATAAAATTAAAGCAGATTGTTTTTTATTCGTATAGTTGGTATCGGACAATACCTCTGCTTTATTCTTATGAAAGCACTATTTTATTTTCCGGAAATCAACAAAGGGTTAATTACTATCGGATATAAGTTTTGATTTTCTCAGACCAGAACGTAATCTAGTATTTTATTTCTAATGGTACATTTATAAATGAGAAAGGATATAGAATCTCACCGCAATATATTTTGCGAAAATATTTTTATCTGCGTGTTTTAAATTGGTAGTCGCGAAATAGACAAAGAGCATCTTAGTGAAAAGCAAAAATATTAATGTTATACAATTAGTTGATGAAAAAGAAAACTATTTCGAGAAAATTAACTTATCCGCAAGAATGTTCTGATTTGTTTTTTCTCAAGTTCCTTGTCAATTATTTTCAAGATCTCGAAAGTTGAAAAAAAGGGAAACTGATAATATCTCATGCTTCAATATAAATAATAATACAATGGCAGTCAAAGCTTCATCCTTGAATAACTGTGACATTATTTTTTTTGTAGTATTCAGCATAACTGGATCCACTGTTTTCTGTTTCACTTCAGCAGATGATTTTAGTAACTATCCGTAAAGTTTTCCTTGATTGATGTACTTCAGTACCGTGGAATCTTTTTTTTTCATTTTATCATAATCTTTGTCTTTTTCGGAATATTCATCCTAGTTGATATGCCTACGAAATCATATATCTTCTTGTGAATCGACTACGGCTTAAGCTGGTAGAGCATCACGTGTTGTTGAAATAACGGATTGATTTATTAATGCGCTTCAAGTTTTCATTTAAACTAATATTTAATATAGTCACTGCGATGAATGTGTGTTACACAAATGCTGGAATACAAAATCCACACGGAGTGACAAAAGCGTGTGCGACTTCATTATATAATTTTCGGAATCTATGTTTTATTAATAAACTACAAAAAACGTTCTTTATCAGCTCAATAATTTACAAACCTATGTACTGTTTATCTCTGACTTTTTTCATTTGCTCTGAGTGACAATTATCAGAATTTTAAAGTGACAATCTTTTTCCGGTTTATAGCTTTGAACGTCTCTAGATGAATTAAAATTTGTATTAAGTAGCATTGAATTTCAAAAGTATAATGATATACTACTGTCAGAAAAGTTTTTCAAGTGCAGATCATGTTAGAAGTTACCGTAAAAAGCAGAATCATTATTGATGGAATGCTTTATGCAGGAAGTTAATCAAGTTCGATATGCCCAGCATCGAGCGGTCGACAATAGATTACACAGATAAACTTTGGATGTGATATATACAGATCTGCATTAAAACTATCTGTGGCAAAAAATGAGATTTTTATTTTATCAATTCAGACCAAATAATCGCTCAGTTCTAGCCGTAGCTGGTATCAAAAGTCAAGGACACGAACTTTTCTACTAATGTTCACGCACTTTAGCTTCGAGTGAGAGCAATTGATCAAACTATTTTCATAAATATTAATCAGTTATCTTCTTTCTCTCTAAAACTAGTAATTGATGCAAAAATATCTTGAATTTTCCCCTAATATACCACATGCTACGTTTGAATAAAGATCATCGATTAAAAAGAATTAAATTGTACCTTTATTCTTGATAAAATGAGAACATAGATGGCTATGTATATTTCCACTTTCACATCCCATGTAAAAGGAATTATGAGAAAAATCGTTATAAAGTACTTTTAACTATAATCTTTAAGAAGGGAGAAGCGCTTGTAAGCGAATCTTTTTAAGTGCATGTTACCACTTTTTTAATAGAAAGCACTATTAAGTACTACTGAAAGTATGAAAAAGTACTAAATCGTACTAGGAATAGTAATAAAAAGTTGAACAATTCTATTTATTTTTCTCTATTAGTATTAAAAGCAATTCATGGTATTTTTTTTATTTGAGAAAGTACTAGAAAGTGCTTTTATT